GTTCTATATATATATATATATATATATATATATACACGTGTGTAATTTATGGTGCTTTTTGGATGTGTGTAATTTATTGTGCTTTTTGGATGTCCTTTTATGTGTGCATGTAAATATTCAATATGAAAGCATTTGTGTATATATATGGACGTGTTTATTCACGGGCATGTATATGCATGTTTGCTTTTGATGAGTCTGCATGTGTGTTTATTCATATGAATGTGCACATAAATACATTTATATGCAGGTATAGGTGGTTGTGGATGTAAATTTCTTTTGATGAGTCTGCATGTGTGTTTATTCATATGAATGTGCACATAAATACATTTATATGCAGGTATAGGTGGTTTAGTAAAGCCTCACCTCAAAAGTCACCGAAAATTGCAGTTCTTGCCTCGGAAAGGCTTTGAATCAATTATCTCGGCTTTGATCATTGTTGTTGTGGGAAAAAAAAAAAAAAAGATGATTTCAAGTCTTAAAAATAGTGTATATTGTTGTAACACATAATCTAGACCATCCATTTCACCCAAGAAATAAATCCTCATAGATCTACAAAATCTGTATATTTTTTGAGCTTTAAATTTCATAATCGATGTTGAAAATTGATTTTAGAGCTATCATAAAGATTTCTAATTCTCAAATGCTTTCCAGATGCGATTTGAGGTGATGAAGTGAGAATTTCCATATGAGGATTTGAGGTGATGCTTTACTTTGTTTTTGTTTTCATCGAGCCTAGACGTGTACGAACTGTTGTTCATGAGTTCGGGTTAAATAAGGCAGCTGTTCGCCACTGACTGAACAAGTTACTAATCAGGGCTGGCTGTTCCTAATGAATAACCTGCTGTCCACCGAATGCCTTTGGTAGTTTAAGTGCTTGCATTTGTTTGTGAATTTTATGATGATTACACTTACATGTGGGTGTGTATAATTTGTATATCATCATGTTTATGTTAGGAAAGGGGCTGGATCATGGTGGTAGCATCTCCACACTTAGTTACTACATCGTGGTATCTATTCTTACCGTTGATGTTTTCAATTAACACTTTCAAAATGTAACTCCTTAATCTATTACCCAAAAAAAGAAAAATGTTTATGTTTTTTGTTTATATGCCTGTATGTTGTATGAATAACATCTTGAGTGTTGGCGTCCAATGTGTGTCTAGTTGTTTATCTTAAATATCCAATACAACAAGACATGTACTTATAAATAATAGGGATTGTCCACGGAGTTCATTTATCTTTTGTACATGGAGGTTTCAATTCTTTTAAATTTCAAAATGGGTATTCTTGAATAGATGCAAAGTGCCAAAAAAAAATAAAAATTCTCGGACTTTGTGACACCCTAAGTGGAAATAATTATATTTTTCATGTACAAAAGATAAATGGTCTTTTTGTAGAACATCACTAAATAATATATTCATGTATTAAAATTTAGATATTTGCGAGGTTTGTAGAGGTAGAATCTAGGCTCATCATGGAGAAATCTCCAATCCGAACTTTAGGAATTATGAATTTATGATTCAGGTTATTTCTCAATAGGGTGCTTGTATTAACTTTAGGGAAAATATCCTTATTATTCTCTATTTTTAACTTCTATATCTCATTAGACCCAAGAATTGAAATATTACTTGTAAGCAAAATGAATCCTTCTTTTCTATCTTCCAACCCCTTAAACCTTTTTGACTATGTATTATTGATCTCAACAACTTCTAACATCCTTTTTATCTTCTAACCCCTTATCTCTCTCTCTAAAACTCCATCTCTCTCAGATCATCGTCTCTCTCTTTCAAAACTCTATCTCTCTCTAAAACCCAAACGCCATCTCTCTCTCTCTCTAAACTCAAACTACTATTTTTTCTCTATCTAAACTCCATCTCTCTTTTAAAACTCCATCTCTCTCTCACATATAAAGTGTGCTTGTGCTCGAGCTCAAGCTAGACCTTTTAGTTGGTAAACTCACCGAGAAATAAAAAGAGAGATGGAAATTTAGAGGGAGAGAGATGGAGATTGAATAGGGTATTTTAGTATTTGTTTGGGTCAAAAATTTATAGTCAACAGGTTCCAGAGGGTTGTAAGATAGAAAAAATTGAAACTTATTGCTTATAGGTAATATTTTCAATTCTTGAGTCTCATGTTATATGGAAGTTAAAAATGAAGAATAAAAAGATATTTTCCCTTAACTTTATACGGTGTGATTCATATAAGGCGTCAACCTTAAAACAATAAATCAAAACTTATTTGTACACAAACATGCACAAGTCCACAATGCATGCATATATGTCAAGACATACAATCACTTCTTTTTTTTTCCAAAAAAAAAAAATCTTGACTGCACCTTCTAGACACTTAAAATAATATCTTGAGACTGAATAGAGACCTCCAATTTATGAAGGGTGAGATTTAAATATTAAAAAACTCAAAATTCAAATTCTATTTTTTTAAAAATAATTAGTGATTCATAGGTGGTTTCTAAAACAGATTGAAAATTGAAAGGTCTTTTAATCGAGGGAGTAAACGTATACCATGCTTTTATTGGAGCATACTCGGCATAGTATATGCCTGACGCAAATATATAAACATCTTAATCTAAGTAAACAATGTGGGTGTATTAATGTGCATTTCTATGTTGAATGCTATGGTTTTATGCACACAAATTTAGAATCTTTTGAAGGTCTTCTAAAAGGGATGCGACATAAAGACTTTCCATAAAGCCACCCATCTTAGTACTACAACATGAAGATATAGATTCTCTGTCAAAATGTATGTACTTATGTGCGCTTGCATGCAGATGTTACACATATAACCCTCCATTTGTAGGGAGAGGCTGAAATCGTGGCGGTAGCACCCCACACCAATGGTTTAAAAAATAGATCGGTGATTCGGATCGGGTTTCTAAAAAATCGATTCGGATCGGTGAATCGGCGATCTGGATCGGGAATCGGGTGAATC